ATCCACATAACCCTGCATTTCCCATGACTAATTCACCTAGACTGCACATATCTGGACAGTATGGGCAATTTATCATGACCAATCCACCCAACCTGCACCTCTTTGGACAGTGGGAGGAAGCCAGAACAAACCCACACAAACACAAGGAGAATGTGCAAACTCCACACAGACAGTCGCCCAAGGGTGGAAGCGAACCCGGTTCCCTGGCATTATGAGGCATCAGTACTAACCACTGAGCCTCTCCATGGGTAGAAGTTAAAAATCAATTGATTGCTTACGATGCCTTCTTGCTTAAGAATCAACCCTGGATTGTATTATAATAATGATTACTATATTGTCTATCTATGGTGATTAAAGATTGTCAATTCACATTTGTATATATAACAACTAATCCAATAGATGTTTAGAGTACAGAACCTGAGTTTTGCTGCAAAAAGGACAGATTCTGTTGAAGCTTTTCATCTTGCACACTTCAGGACAATTCATGGGAATATAAATATAAAAGAGAAACAACATTCTTCTACTGTATGAGAATAGCCTGGTGATTGGTTGGTAAGTGGACTCTGATAGGGTGAGGCATTGCCATGGAGAATGAGCCAGCACTATGATGACTGACATTTATTTGCCAAGTTTTGTTTCAATTTAAATCAGGCAGGTTGATTTTACTTGGTCAAGGTATTGCCCTGAGGATTGAACCAGAGGATGGCTATCATCTATTTTGTTCAGTTGAAATAGGGAAAGTATGTGCACACGTACTTTCCATCTGCAAAGAACAAGGCCCTGTGTATTAACTCATGTAGCCTGCAGTATGTACTTTGTGAGCCCAACTGGCTTTCTTACATTTATTGTCAATGTAATTCATAGTAAAGTCATGATTGTTTAACAAATGTCCAATTGCAGAATCATATCCAATGTGGGACGCTGTATTTAGTGTTTTCTACACATGGGCTGGTTAGGTTTTGTCTGCACCTTGTCTGTTGTGAACAGGTGAAGGGGCACACTGTTTCATTTGGTTAATCTAATAAAAGTAAATATTCAACACTGAATCGACTTAATAAGGAGTTTTGGCTCTTTCTTCAACTGATGATAGTTACAATACAAAAATTCTACTTTAAGTGTAAGCACAATATTCAAATCCACCCAAAGAAAAATTGAGTATTCAAACAAATATGTCAATAATACCAGGACTGTTAGTCGGTAGATGTGACTTTGTCTCAATATTTTTTTTAGAAATAATTTGAGAAGTGACATACAGTCAAGCATGTCTGTGCTGGTCCGATGCACAAAGCCAATTTTTAAAAGATTTTTTACTGTTGTCTGTTGGTCTAGAAAAGTGTTGCTATTGATTATTGTTAAATACTTCAAAGGCAGATTTCTTGATGGGTCATTCCTTTTTAACAATTTTGGTCTAGTTTGCAGTAAATAACCAGAAAGTGTAAGGTTATTCACACCTTCCTAACTGTCTGAAATTCTATCTCTGAGCTTGTTCCTGGCAGAATGCCAGATTCCCGTACTGCCTAAATCTGCATTACATTTAACACTTTAATTGTTAGATTACTTTGGTGACTTTCTTTACAGTGCTAAAGGGCATCTGAGATTGTTGTGTGTGGTTTCATCTCTTCAATGGAAGAACACAGTTTATTGAGTTACTTGACCTCTTCATGGTGTTTGGTGTGTCTGTGTAAGGAAGAGAAGACAATAAGACTCCATCTGTTTGCTGCTGAAAGTGTCACTTGGTATAGAGTGTTAGTATGGCATTGTCAGATTAACATAACTCTCTGATGAAGACCTGGTGCACTTTTGTCTTGGATTTCAAGTGAGCAAAGTTGAACAGTTTTCTGTCGACTCTAGTCTGTAAATAGACATAAATATACATGTATATATCTATACATCAACTGGGAAGATATGACAGCAAAGAGAAACGTATCCCAAAGATTGTCGATGCTAGAATACAATCCTGTTTAACGCCACTGCAGATCACAAAGGGGTCTGATTTTGCCCTGTCATAGCTGACCTTATCCATCATGGTGACATGGAAAGATAAGATCACATTGTGAGATAGTAAGAACTGCCGATGCTGGAGTCAGAGATAACACAGTGTGGAGCTGAAGGAACACAGCAGGCCAGGCAGCATCAGAGGAGCAGGA